GGCGGCCGCGGGCCCCCCCGGGACCCACGATGCGCGAGCTGGCCATCGAGGTCGGCGTGAGGCTGCTGCTCTTCGGCGTCTTCGTGTGAGTGTCGCGCGCGGCACCGCGCCGCGGAACCGGGGGGAAACTTCTGTCGGGGCCGCCCCCTCCCAGCCTGCCTCAACTTTCCTGCGCCGGGGCGCCCCGCTGGCCCCGGCACCCGCCTTTTCACCCTCCCGGGGCTCGCTGGGACCCCGGGGATGTGCCCAGCACGGGCGGGATTTTAGTTTTTTTTTTTTTWAATCGGAGAAACTGCTGCTTGTGAGAGAGATGTGCAAAAATACCTAGCTGCTTTCCTTTGTGTTTTGTTTGTTTGTTTATTTTCCCTTTTAGGGTTTTAATCCGAGGTCCGGTCTGTAAATGCTGCTGGCTCCGCTCCTTGCAGCCGGCGGGAGCCGCAGCGAGCGCCGCGCTCCGGGAAGCTGCGGAGGGAGCGTGTCATTTTCTTAATATTGAGAGATGAATATTCTTAGTCTTTGTCACCCCGCTAAAAATATTAGGGAATCGGGAACAGATTCTCTGATCCAATGCAGGCTGCTGCCCCTGTTTACTCTCCTGCTTACYCGTGTGCCTGTCACAGGTGCCTGCGTTAATAGCCTAGGGTGGCTCTTAAGTCGTGRTGCTGAGTTACAGGTAGCTGTATGGGAATGCTTTGATTTGATTTCTGACTGAATCTCTYATGGCTAATGAATTATTTGCTGAACTTCCTGATACTTGATTTCTTTCTTTGGAGCTCATTTCTCTTGAATACTGATGCAGATCTTTTATGAAAAATGCAACACATTTGATAGAAGTGTCACCCTCTTCATTTTAGGATAGACATTCATACCATCAAAAACCTGCATGGTTTCTTTCATACCTTCACACTAAGTTGCAACTAGGTCCTTTTAAAACAACTSTTTTCTAGAATAGATTGAAAACCAGGTTAAGCGAGGACTTCAGAATCGGGTGTTACATCAAAACCCAGCCCTCAGTTACGATTGCAGGTGTATTTCATCACYTACACCACCAATAAAAGATCTTTTAATGTAGTTTTTTTCCTCCGACTGGATAAAAATCAGTACTGGTATAAGTATTATAAGTAGCAGTTTCTAAGTTATGCTTGTCATTGCCCTCCCATCTCGTCTCTAAAGGAGTCTGTGATTATTTTGCTCCTTACTTTATGCAGTAGCTCTGAAATGAGCTAGAAGCCTTTGGTTGCTGGAGGAAATGCTCTCACTAAAGTCACCACAATGCTAAAAGGCAAATGACTAAGCAAACAATTTTCACGTTTTAATGGGGTTCCTCTCTTCCTTCTTTGAATTCTGGGGAGCAATTCTGTCATTATAGTATTGTTAATGAATGCTCTAAACGACCTGTAGAGATTGTGATATCTGGAAGTACCAGCTAGGTATCATTATAAATTGCCATGAAGGTAGATATTTAGCTTCTTGAAGCATTACCCTTTATTTCTTTTATATATATATAATTTATGTGTTTATATAACTTCATGTTTAAATATAGTTTTGCTTTTGGAATTTTTTTTTTTTTTTTTTCATGTTTAAATATAGTTTTGCTTTTGGAATTTTTTTTTTCCAATTATCTTAAGAGGTCCCTCCTCATCTTTGGAAACCTCMTTATGCTACTGAGTTTTATGTATTAGGTATGCTTATTATATAGGGCTCTGTAGACAATTAGAGCATTTATTTCTAAGGAGCGTTGACATCRTTCAAGTGTCTTTTGAAGAGTGAAGAATTACTGATAAATTGCAAAGTCTTGGAATTGGAATCCAGGCAGCAGCAATATAAGCTCTGCTGCAAAAGCTGTTTCTAGGAATGGAAAGGCAGGGTGGTTCCCCTCCCCTTTGGAAATCATTTTCACCAGTGATTTGAGTCTAGGTCTGAAATCCTCTCTGTTGACGTCTAGCTACGTATTTGTCCACTAGCAAATGGRCTGAAGAAAATTACTGAATTCTGAAAAGATGATGATGATGACTTTGGGTCACTACTAACATTTACAATATTAGAAGTTGTTAGAAGAAAAATTAGAAGAAAAATGTTGTTGATTCTTGGAATTGACTCTATTGCCAATGAGAACGTATTCTACAACAAYCCCTTTTTCTGTTCTTAGACTTGGCAGCTTTCTTCTTTCCCTGGTGGTCATCATTAGGAACTCTAATCATTCCGCTGAAGACAAAGAACGATGTATCTCCTATATCAAAGAACTATACTTCCTCCGTTGTCATACAAATGTAGACTGTTACAAATGTAGACTGTTTTTGATAGTCCTATATTGGTTTGGGTGGATAACACTTAAACAGGCTTCAAATAAAAGTAATGAGATGCTCAATTCTTAGCTATTTCAAAACATTCAGTTAGCAATTAAAGATCGGTTTAGGTACTGAAATTAAGCAACTCCAGCTTTAGTGCGTTTACAAAGATCAAGTGCGGAAGGTTATCTTAGCCCTCGGGATTTACTTCTATTGAAAGAAAGATTAGTTAGAGGAGATTTATCTGAAGCTATCTGAAGTTCCGCAGCACTAATTAAASTAATAGTTGTATGGGAAAACATGGTGCCCACTTTACTGAAAGGGTAAGTAGTTGTTCTTTGAGTACCCGTAGTAAAAGAGCCCTGGAGTCATGAGTTGTGGATTTTAGAGAGGATAACATTGTTTTTGTTCAGCTGTACAGGTTTTCTCAGTTGCTCAAGATGAACAAAATCATCTTCATTTTTAAAATATTCAGCCTTGCACATTTCAACAGKGTATTGATCATGATGGGGATAGGTTGTGTACTGCTTCCTGGGCAAAGACACTTCCAACTATAATTTGACCAGTTATATGCTTTAAGTAATGGTGTTTTAAGTACAAATATCCCTCTAGTTTAATTTTAGCTAAGAAGCAATTCTCATTTCATTCTTTTGTTTGTTTAGTTTATTAGATACCTCATTAAAAGTATTTGTGCATGCAGAAACTGATTTTCAAGAGTGAAGTCTTTCACGTAAAGTCCCAGAAGTAGAAAGGTTTATTGTTTCATGTACCAGTTGTGAGCATGTACTTTAGCAGAGGAAGGAAAACATACTTTGAGGGATGATTGGGCTAGGATCTTGCAGATCTGTTTTGTTCATTTTTCAGTTATTCCTGTGACTTGCAGCATTTTGTGATGCCTGATTGACTTCAAACATAATTAGTCTTTCATCTGCTCCATATGGGTAGTGGTACTTGTCATTTATGGAAAGCTTGGTGCTTTAGAGTTGTTTTAACTGAATTGTTTTTGTTAGGTTAAGGCAACTGTAGAAAGATTTCTGAGCAGGTCTGATCCTTTCCAGAGGAATGATGATGTCCCAAAAAAGAGGTACATTGAGTGGTAGTTCTGAGTGTGTCTGTAATTAGCAGTAGAAATGCCCTCATTTGGTAGTAAGCACATGTTCTGCTTGAGATAGGTCCCATTAAGAAAAWTTTTTCAGCTGTTTTGGACACTTTAGAAGATGACAGCATTGAAGGAAGATATGAGAATTGGTGTGCATTGGTGGTATATTTAGTAAGATGACTTTTAGTGTCAACAACATATCCCTGATGTTTGTGGAGCTGTCTAATTGATTAAAAAGACAGTCTTTCAAGGATTGCTTCATCAAACCTTGAGCTCATCAGTGAGTGTGATGTGATTAAAATATAAATGTCATTCAGGGTAATTGGGTTTCTTCCCCACAGAACAGTCTCATTAATAGTCTCCCTTGGGGATAAATGTTTATCTGCAAGCTTATATGCATATATACATTACACACAATGTACACACAGTGTACAATCTTAACTAATGTTGACAGCTTTCTGGTGGTACACGGTATAAGTAAATACAGACAAGTTAGACGTCTTACAAATTTTCAGTAGTAAGACTTTAATTACAAATGGGATGATTTAGGCTAAAACCTCTTTCTGTAGTAGTATTCTCTGTCGCAGATGGTCATCTTCTGGATATTCTGCATATAAATTGCCTTCTTGAGTGATACTATATACTGTCTTGTTAGCACATAAAATCAGCTAGCTGAGCTAGCATTATTCCATAATGGTTCTATTCTAATGTTCTCTTTACTTATACTTTGTGTTCTCCTTCTCTGTCCTACCTGTAGGGTTTTGGAGGATAGACCCTTGAGGGGAGAAAGATGAGCAGTCACAGATCCCTAGGTAATCAGAATAAAGTAGTGCTGAGAACAAAACGCTGTTGTGAGATATTGAGTTCCTGATTCTGACACAAACTTTCTGCCCAACTGTGTATATCAGCTGCACCAAGGTTTCACAGATTTAGAGTAGCTGAGCTTTTCAAAGAGAGATTTGTATTTGTGCACCTGAACTTGTTTGGTGTGTATTTTTTTTTTGTCTTTATTTTCAAGGCTTGAGTATTTTTTAATTTGCCTTTGCTCTRGAACCGAATTTTTGGCTTTTGATCTTAAAACCTTGGACTTAATTATTCTGTACTCTTAACTTCTTGCATAGAAAGGGAGGGTATTAATTCTTTTTCCCACCTGTTGTTTATTCAAGTGATATATTTTTTACAGTGAGGAGTGTGTATAATARGCGAACTGAAAATGGAACTCATTTTTTGGTGTCAGTTTGACCAAAAAGTAATGATAATAAGTAGAAGGAACACCAAGATAATCGATTACTAATTCTTTAAAAAATAGCTAATGTGTTGTAAACAAGATCATTCTTAAGCAAGGAAAAGATATAGCTCAGCCGTTTGCAGCTGAGTTCACTGTTAATGCACAGTTCTGGAAATAACCTGCTACCCTAAAGACTTCCCTGCCTCTCTGCCATGTAGGAACGGAGAGCATCCATCAGAAGGTGCATATTGAACTCCAGAGGGAAGCAGCAGGGCTTGTTCCAGGGCTTGTCACCATCTCCTGCACCTTTGAAATGATGAAAGGCTTTGAATGCCACAGAGCTGCTGGAACTTGCTGATTGCAGCTGATATATCAGAGTAAYCCGAATGTTAACTTTGCTCCGCTCTGTCTCCTTGAGAGGTTACCGTAAAAAGAAAAGGCCATAAATACGTATTATACCTAGTGTAATA